TTTTGAGAGCCAATTTTTTTAAACTTAAACTTTTCCTAGTGCCACTTCATCAAAATAGACTCTCCCAGGCCATGGTATTTTGTGGAAAAGGTACAGTAAAGGGGCCAAAAAGCTGGATGTGGCTTGCAAGATGCAGTTTGCCAACCACTGCTATAGAGGAACTTACCATTTATCACCTTGAGATGACTTTACAGGGTAAAGATGATGCTTTGTTTTCTAACATGTTTGAATGATGACATGGGAGGTGGCTGGCTGGCCGGCCCCCTGATTGGGCCCAATGGGATGACCAACCAGGGGAGAAGGAATTGTGGGAGGTTGGCCAGCCAAGGGGAAGGGCTGCAGGAGGTTTGCTGTGGGAGTGCACTGACCACCATGGGGAAATCCCTGTATTGAGCATCTGCTCCCTGGTGGTCAGTGTGCCTCATGCATCATAGTGACTGGTGACTGGTCGTTCCAGTCATTCAGTTTTAACGGTCACTTAGGCCTTTATATATATAGATATTTATACCAAATCACTCAAACTTAATTTGAAGTTTTGTCCTCAGACTTTGCTTATACATTTTTGAGAGTATAATCCTTAAGGCAAGTTATATTAATAACTCCAATCATACAACTTAGCTCATATTTTCAGCCAAATAAAATGTGTCTATTTAAAGAAATAAAAATATGTGTCTATTTAAAGACATACACACAAATATTAGCAGCTTTATTTGTAACAATCTAACACTGAAGCAACTGAAATAAATGTTCATTAAAGGATGAAAGATACACAAAATCAAATCCATGGTGTCCCAATTATGGCCCAATTAATTGATTATCCATCTAGACTTAGTGGGACAAATGCAGGTGACCAGGCGTCAGCAATAACTGCCTATTCCCTGGTACTTCAGTGTCTAGACAGCTGAGCTGAACCAAAACACATGACACACAAGACAGAATTAGTATGCAATCATACAGGCTTTATTTACCTACTAGAGGCCCAGTGCACAAAACTTGTTCATGGGGTGTAAGGGTTGTCCCTCAGCCCAGCCTGCACCCTCTCCAATCTGGGACCCCTCTCACAATCCAGGACTGCTGGCTCCCAACTGCTCATCTGCCTGCCTTCCTGTTTGCCCCTAACTCCTTCTTCCCGCCAGCCTGATTACCCCCTAACCACTTCCATGCCAGTTTGATTGATGTCTAACTGCTCCCCTGCCAGCCTGTTTGCCCTCAACTTCCCTCCTCTGCTGGCCAACTCTAACTGTCCTCCTCTGCAGGGTTGATTGCCCCAACTGCCCTTCCCTGCAGGCTTGGTGCCTCCCACCTGCCCTCCCCTGCTGGCCATCGTGTCCCGATGGGGGCAGGATCCTTGACAACATGGGGGCAGCCATTTTGTGTGTTGGAGTGATGGTCAATTTGCATATTACTCTTTTATTAGACAGGATTTCTAGAGGGTCCTAGGCTCCAGCAAAGGCCACCCAGCAATGCACACTGAAGGACAGACAATGAGAATAGAGACAGGCAGGTGGCTGCAGTTGGCTCAGGCTCACACAGTAGAGCAGTCAGGGGCTTGTCTCTCAGAGCGAAGTGGAATCCTCCTTTTATCGGGCAGGAGAAGTCAACTGAAGATGGTCACTGGCTTATATAGACTGAAGTAAACGACTTGGGTCCTTATCTGTATTGGCCAGACAGTGTGCCTTATGCTGGGAGCAGGGCGTTTACACTTTAAAGGCTCAGAGCTTTTACATCAAGATAGTGGGGTGTTCATTAATTTTGGAAGTTACAGAGTATTGGGCTTTCCACACAGCAAACGTTTCACACAATTATTATTTCACATATTAGAGGGTTGTTTTTATGACCATAACATTATTATAACATATGGGTAACATGTTAGCATTATTGCCTATCTTATTTTCTTCATAGCATTAATTTATCACTCTATGAAATTTTCTGAGTTCTCTGGAACATATCAGCTCCTTAGAATTTGTACCTTATTTTATTTTTATTAATTGCTTAGAACAGTATTAGGCACAAAGTAGTTTTTTTTTAATATTGTTTGAATGTATATACAAATGACTTATAGTTATAATTTTGTTTTATGACAATTTTATTGTTTTTCCTATAATTAAGTAGAATTGTGTTCTAAGCTGCTACATTTCCTGGAAAGAGTATTTTCTCAGTAAGTAACATCATACTTTCGAGTGAGTTAAATTAATTTCAAGATAGATTCAGTGCCTTAACAAAGCTGCTTTACCAGATTTACTAAGAGGTAGCTCTTCTAAGCATTATCTTCATTAATTTTCTCTTCTCATTTTCCACCCATTATTATATTAGTAACTGTCAAATGCTGAGGGTTTCAAGAGACCAATGTGCTATTATTAAAGGCTCAAAAATATAATAAATTTTGCAAATTACTCAGCAAAATCTGCTTTCTGGCAGGAATTAGTTATAGTTTTAACACATGTTTTTGAGCACTACATACTGAAAGATGAAACGGAGGGACCAGAGACCGGGATGCCAGGACACAGGCTTTATTGGAGAGAAGAGTACCACTGCTGGCTGCCTTCCAGAGGGGAAGGAGGAAGAGGGACAAGGTGCAGGCACCTTTTAAGGAGAGGAAAGAGAAGGGATGGGGCTTAGGGCACTCAGCACATGCTGATGGGTGGTTTCATGTAAGGCACATGATTAGGGACATAGGGACTTAGGAATCGGGGGCTTAGGGTATTTGGCAGGTGCTGATTGGTGGTTCAATGCACAGTCCATATAAGGAGCCCTGTTAGGTGCTCAGGAATGTCCAGCTGCAGGTGGAGTTTATATCATTCTCCGTCCATCAGTTGGAGGAAGGGAGGATCTATCACATACATATTAAAATCATAGCATTTATAAATACAACCATCTCTACAATAGGGGTTATATAAATAAATTACACATTTTGTGACTAACCTCATATATATGAAATTTTTAAAATGAAGTTATTTTATAAAATACCAATTGATAAGATTTGTAGTTCAAATAAAGTATGAAAGTTGTTATAATATAATTTTAAACAACTACAGAGTGCCCCCCCCACCAAAAAAAATGTATACACATTTTTATGGAATTGTATTTGCAATTTCATTTTAATATTCTATTTACAGTATCTGTAAATATATAAAGTTCATGTAGAGATTAATGTGTTTTTAAGCCCTCCTCAGCACTGCTGCTCTGAGTTGTTCTGAGTCCATATATTCTTCTAAAATCTCCCATTTGACTATGGCAAGCACAGGGCAGTGTTCAAGAAGGAACCTGGAATTTTTGGAAACTTAGTCCAAGAGCACAGGTCAATCCCCAGCATGGGGCAGAGAGAGAAGCCACGGGATGTTGTGGGTGTATAAGAATGAGTCTTGATTGCAGACAAGAACAGTCCTCACAGCAAAGTCCATACAGGCAGGCAGCTGGACACTGGTTGGTACATACAGACCTTTTCCATAAAGCAGTATCAGTCTCTGTACCCACAGCTATTATCTGAGCAGCTGCATGCTGCCCCAGACTCACTTTACATTACAGCAGCACCTGAGCTCTCTGCCTCAGCAGCTGCCCTAAGCTCTCTGGCTTCAGCAGCTTCTCCTGTCTCCCCTGCCCAGCACACTGGCTGGTTAACATGGCAGCTACATCTGAGCCTCTATACGCTCTTAGCCTTACACTGTAGCAGTGCCAGCTCTCAGCTCCATCTGTGCTCTCTTATTCACACACGGGAGCTACCTCCTTGTGCTGCCGCCTCTCTTCTCTGAGCTCTCTCCAGCCTCTGCCCTTTTTGTGGTCAATAACCTGCATATTACTCCAGAGACAAAGAAGGCTAGCTGCCAAAGGTGACATCAGTCATTTGGGTTACAGGAGGGCACAGTGTACCGTGTGTCCTTGCACCTGCTTGGTATCCTGGCCAGATTATGATTCTCAGGCTCAGAGGCTGATAATGGTTCCCAAGCTCAGGGCAGCCTTGATCAACTGATGCACTCTAAACAGTCTCCCACAAGAGTGTGTGTGTGTGTGTGTGTGTGTGTGTGTATATATATATATATATATATATATATATATATATATATATATTTTTTTTTTTTTAAGGCTTTGTTTAACTTTACATGGATTTAACTCTGGTTCACGCTCACTCTTTCTCAGCCCAGGTTTTCTCTGGTGTCACAACAGAGCGGTCTCTAGCAGGGCAGCTGGTGAGTATTGCTTGTGTAGGTCCCAAGAGAAAGAAGCAGGTGAGGAGATTGAATAGTGAATGGTTAGCTGGCAGAAGGTACCAGCAGTTCTTGGCTCAGATTCAGAAATTATTTGAGTGTAGGCACTTCTTCTATCAACATGCTTTGGTGGAAATGGTTGCCACCTGCCCCTACTCCCAAGGGTTAATTTTCCTGCTGCTTAGTCAGTTTATATTTCAAGAGGCTGTTAATGTAATAATACTAACAGTGTGGAGGCATGCTCTTCCTGCCCAGATGGTGGCTTCTGCACATGACGTACAATGCATGTAGGTTGGCAGTCCCATGCTTAGCAGTAAGGGTTCCACAAACTCTGGCTGTTGATACTGTCCGGTGACAGGTGCCCAAGAAATAATGAGATCAGCATGCCCCATAAACACCTGCAAAGGTTGACACATAGAAATGTCAGCTTAGACTTCATTTTAAACATAATAACATGACTGTTCAGAAAAATCACAGTCATTTCCTATGGTAAAAACTGGAATTGAGTCCCGGACACCTTTCTTTCCTGCCTCACACCTGGGCTTGCCACCAGGCCCTGCAGTTCCGCTTCGCCGGCCTCTCCCAGCTCCGCCGCGTAGGGCTCGGGACTTCCGGTCACGTGCCTGCGCGAGTGCGGTGGCAGCATGCTGACTTCCGACTTCCGACTTCCGTTTCTACCAACCGGTTTTCCGTTTCACCAACTGTTTTCCTTTCCTTGTTTTCTTTGGTCCTGGCAGGAGGTCCCCGGGACTGTTTTCGGGTTGCTGGGTGGCCTTGAACCTTCGGGAGCGGAGCGCGATGGCGGGTGTGTGGAGGCTGAGTGCCCGCTGCGGAGTCCATGGCGGCCGGGCTCTCCTGCTCCGAGCCCCGGTGGGCAGACCTGCTCACCTCGCAGCCTTTCTCCAGGACCGGCCCGCCCCGGGGCGGCGCGGAGCACAGCGCATCCACCTGCCCCCCGGCCGCCCTGCTCTCCGCTGGACCAGTGAGAGGGCGGTCAGTGCTCTGCTCCTGGGCCTGCTTCCGGCGGCGTATCTGTGTCCTGCTCCCGCGGTGGACTACTCCCTGGCCGCGGCGCTCTCCCTCCACGGCCACTGGGGCCTGGAGGAAGTTGTCACTGACTACGTTCGCAGGGACGCATTGCAGAAAGCCGCCAAGGCGGGCCTCTTGGCTCTCTCGGCTCTCACCTTTTCTGGGCTTTGTTATTTCAACTATCACGACGTGGGCATCTGCAAAGCTGTTGCCATGCTATGGAAGCTCTGACCTTCTTGACTTAATATGTTAAAAATGGGTTGTACACCTCCCTCTTTGCCTTTGCCTCTGCTCTGTCATGCCATTCATCTCACAATAAAGAGGAAATAACTGATGAGTCCCTTGATAAGTCTCTTCTCCTAATCACCTGGCTAGTTGTAGAATGTAATCTGTGAGGAAACGTTTTGAGAGGAATTGTATCCAAGAAATTGTGAAACAAGAGTTCCACACTCTGGCGAGTGAATGAGCTTGTCCTCCAGCTTCTCAAGACTCACAATGTAACTGAACGTTATATATGAGCTTTCGCATTTTAATTTACCAAACTCTTAAAGGGAATTCAGCTTTATTACTTACTGTCAATGTCTAACCAAACTTCTTCTATATTTGCCCTAAGAATTGTGGAGAGAGGAAAAGCTATTAATTCATAAGTAAAGACTGCAGAAACTTATGCAGCACTTAATGTTTGAAAACTTTACCCCTTTGTTAAGTTGATACCAGTCACTGGTGGTTATATGTCTTTATATGTCTTAAAGTTAGGAATTGCTATTACTATCAGGATACTTCACATTTCTAATTTCTATATCCTGGTAAAAAGAGCCTGAGAACTTCTGAATATAGAGAAGTTTGATGCAGAGGGAGGAGGTACCCCTTTAAAGGTATCAAAATATTACATGTTCTAAACTGAGTCTTATCTCCTCAAATATGTTCATTTTATTTGTTCCAAAATAATATCCACAAATATAAAACTTTAGTCAATTGTTATTTTTCCCACTGTGAGAATCTCAATTGTGAAATGTATTCTGTTAAATTAAAAAAAAATTCTGTATTAAAAAAAAACACAAAACCTAGAATTGATAAAATGTGTGAATTCAAAGTCAAAATTATAATGAAAGGTTATGCAATTTATTTTTCTTACTTTATATTATTGTTTTATATATGCGTGCATATATAGTTACTTAAATGTATAGATATAACATTACATACCTAGTTGTAAAGGTGTATTTATATATTCATAAAATATAACAAATTAATTATGTTACAGAAAACTGGAGAAGAACCAGGCAACTCTTAGAGAGATGGAGTCACATTTATTACACATGAGCCCGGAGGAAAATGTCTCTCAAATTCTGGGCCCCAACATCGAGGACATTTCCCTGTTTATATGTTTTTACCTTCTTTGTCTCCCAAATATAGGGTGTTTCTGGCCCCCTTTGCAAGTTTTTAAAGAGCCCCTATATGCTGGGTGGGGCCTTGAGACCTCAACCAAAGGCCTGGCCTGATGCCAGCACTGATAATTTTGTTCAGGAAAGGTTTAATGGCCTCTCTGAAGTGGGAGTGGTCTTATTTTCCTTATTATTTAAGCAAGCATTTACAGAAGCCAAATAACAGGGTTAAAATTTCAAACAGCAGTTTTTATATAAGATGGATGTTTCAAATATATATGTCATTATTTTACAATATCTTCTTTGTCTTATCTGGCACTCGTTTTCTATTATGATTTTCAAGTATTTCTTGTCATTGAACTTGTGAGTAATTAATCCATTTCACGTATACATAAAGTAGAATTCTTTGTTACTATTGAAGAGGAGGAGCTATGTAGAACAAAAAGACAAATTAGTTAACACAAATATATATAAGCTTATATAAGAGAGCATTAGAACCTTAACAAGCATCTTGGCTCTGAAGTAAAGAATGGTCAATTATAGATATTATAGCAAAAACATACATTGAAATGCTTGGGTCCATAAATATAAAAGTTCTCAAAAAAGAGACTTTGACCCACAGACTTTTGAGCCAAATTATTCAGCACCCTCCCCTGCTCTCTGGCTCAATGTATTCTTTTGTACCTGGTAAAGTAGGAGGAGACAAAAATTAACACTTCTAGCAGGATTTATTTATGTGTAAGCTTTTCTATTATGGAAGTGCCTTTTAGCACTCACATGTGTACACAAAAGACAAGGTCCTACTATTATCTGAATTTGGGACAAAGGAAAGGAGACAATTATTGAGGAAATGCAGTCTTTGCCAGCAACTAATTGCACTAACAATGTGCTTAACAAAAATTCAAAAGGACATTTTTAGCAATGCTCCAAAAACACCTATTTCAACAATAGGAACAGACAATTACAGTTAGGTTAAGCACACATTAGATAATGTAATTTAATACACTAAAGTGTGATCACTATGGCTGCCACCATTCCTTTCCAGCTGTTTCTAGTAAAGAGAGCTAAATAAATAAGATAAGATAATGCTTTTATATGATCTGGCTGTAGTGTCTTTAGGGAGAACTTTAAAATTATAAATGACAACTTCACAGGAGGAGAGTAGGCAAAGAAGAGAAGAAAAATAGGGGTAAAACAAAATGTAAATTAAAAGCAAGTATGCAGAATTCATGGAAGAAGATGGTGGATTAAGTGCAAACTACCTGACATTCTCCCAGGACCAAACTGGAATTACAACTAAAATATAGAAAAAATTGTCCTGAATAAGCAACTGCAGACTAGTTGGAGAGAAGTGTGATACCTAAGGGCATAAAGAAGAGACTGCATAGAGACTGGTAGAAAGTGTGGAGGTGCAAGAGGGCTGGCTGTGCTCCCACATGTAGCAACTGGAATTCTAGAGGTATATCAGCTGTGGGGAGTCCCCCTGAAAAGTCTGGAGTCTAAACCCCAAATGAGAATCCCATGCCCAGTGCACCAGAACTGGGAAAGATGCCCATTAACATCTGGTTGTGAAAAGCACTGGGGTTTTTGTCCATCAGGGACTGATAGCTAGATATCTAGATACCATCTTAAAGAGCCAACACACTAAATTTCATTAGCAGCCACTTACCTTGGGCTCTAGCAGCTGGAGGGCAGAGTGGACTAGAACTGTCTGTGGAAAGTCTGGGATAGCCAGCTTGACAGGGAGAGAGCAGAGAAGACAGCCATTGGAACCTTTGTGCAGAGTCATTCCTCCCTTCTGTAGAAAATATCTTCCTCAGGCAGAACTTTCCCATCAATGCAGCTTTTGCCTGGAGAGAAGAAATTGCTCCACTGATTGGATACTCTCTGGCTGTATCCTGTGGAGTTTATGCCCAGCCAAGCTCTATAAGAAGAAAGTGAGCAAGAGGCTCATTAAGTGACTGAGACTAACAATCAGCCTGCAGGCAGAGGTGGATCTCAGGGGGCTTTGAGTTGTTGCCTCCACTGATTCTGGGCCCTGGGCCAGGAAAATCAGATCTTGGTATACATCTTGCTCCTTGCCACATGCTTTTATCCCCAGCAGAGGAAGCTACAAGATATGGATCCCTGATAGCTCTAAACAGGATACTCAGGGTCAGTCAAAAACAGCATCTAACATTGGCCTGTACCAGAGACCCTCTGTAGAGGCCCCAAAGCAATAAACCCAGTGGGCAGCTTCAGAGAATCACAGAGAGGATCCAATAAGCTCCATAAGCAGTATATCCACTGAAATATGTTGATAAGCTCCAGACCGTCAGAGGAGAATTCTTCTTCGTCTGATAATGAACTGCACAGCAGACTGCATGCTATGTTGGGGGTTGAGCCTCATTGACAGCCAATCTGAGATTCCAGCCCACACAAATATGAGCCAACAGTAAATAAGATTCAATTAGCAATGGTGGGCCCATACAACATGCACAGGAACATTTTTAGACTACCCAGGACTGGTGATCAGAAAGATTGTGCTGCTGGGACCCACAGATTATCCACTATATAAGACCACATTGCCACGAATGGGAGTCATAGCAGATCTGCCTACAATATAGAAACAAATCCAAACAGGCAGCCAATATGTAGAGACAAAGAAACAGGCCCCAAATGAAAGAATTATGGTATTGTTCAGAAGAAGAGCTAAGTGAAATGGGGATAAGCAATATCTCAGATATAGAGTTCAGAGCAATGTTTATAAGGATGCTTAACATCATGAAAAAAATATATAGGGTCTATGAAAAATGATGAGTCAGAAATGAAAAATGACATAGTAGAAATAATAATACACTGAAAGAATAAACAGCAGATGAGAGGAAACAAAGGATCATATCAATGAATTAGAAGATAGGGCAGAAAAAAAAATCACTTAATCAGAGAACCAAACATAAATAAAACAATTACAAAACAGGACAGTTTAAGGGAGCTGTTGGACAGAATGAAATGTATCAATATAAGCATCTTAGGAGCTCCAGAGGGAGAAGAAGGTGAGCAAGAGATAGAGAATCTATTTTATTTGAAGAAATAATAATGGCAAAAACTTCTCTAACCTAGTGAAGGAAAAAAGTCACACAAGTTCAAGAAGCACAGAGAATCCTAAGCAAGAAGATCCCAGAGGCCCACACCTAAATTTATCATTATTAAAATGACAAAAATTACAGACAAAGAGAGAATCTTTTAAAAAATATGTTTTTGTTTATTTCATAGATAGGAAGGGAGGGGGCAAAAGAGATAAAAAACATTAATGATGAAAGAGAATCACCAATCTGCTGGAGACCCAGCCCAAAAACCAAAGAGAGAATCTTAAAGGCAGCAAAAGAAAGGAAAATTTGTTGCCTGCAATGGAGCTCTTGTATGGCTACCAGCTGATTTCTCATCAGGAACTCTATCGGCCAGAAGGGAATGGCATGAATTGTTCAATAATCTGAAACCAAGACTAGTCTCTCCAGCAAGGCTATCATTCAAAATAAATGGTGAAATAAAAACTTCCCATACAATTTTTAAAAGGCTAAAAGGATTCATCACCACCAAACCAGCATTGCAAAAAATATTAAAGGGACTGCTGTAGTAATATGAAGGAATGCATAGGCATAAAGATTTAAAATGGCAATAAATAAGTACCTGTAATAATAACCTTAAATCTAAATTGGTTATATTCTCAAATCAAAAGACATAAGATAGGTGAATGGATAAGAAAACTTAACCCATATATGAGCTATCTACAAAGAGACCCACCTCAGAACAAAAGATTCACACAGGATGAAAAGTAAAAGGTTAGAAAAATGTTCCACACAAATGGAA